GTGGACCCAAGGCGACAATTGGCCAGTTTCTCCAAGAGGTGATCATGGGATACCAGATCGAAGGCTTTTTTGAAGTCAAGATATATGACACCAATCTCTTCTCCCTTGTCCAGGTGATAGGTCACCTGGTCGTAGAAGGAAATGAGATGTTTTACATAATGTAAATATAAGACTTCTGATAGTCTCTACCCAGCTGTCAGGCCCCAGTTAGAAAGGCTAGGTTCAGATTTAAGGGTTTGACATTAGCCATAGTAAAAAAGTTTGCTTGTAAAAGGTTTATGGGGAAGAAAGAAACAAACCCCCCCAAACCCCAAAACAACAATTGTGGGGTTTGGCAACCATGCTTGACTGCAGCAATGGTTTTATACTGTACTGTCCCTCCTTACCAGGAGCCTCTACTCACCCTCATGCCCTAATGACCTCAAGTGGGCCCTGCACTATGCTGTCCCCCAGCACATTTTATAGCCTTACCCCTGATGGCCCTATTCCTTCTGTCCTGGAGTAGAACTCCAGAGCAGTCTACCTGTGACCCAGCAGTATTACAGGCAGCCTGGCACATGGCAGCAACACCACATGGCTGAGAGAATGCTTCCTGCATAGTGCTGTGCTCCCACTTGGACACCAGGTGGTACTGCTGTGCTCTATCTGTTAGAGCTTCCCTCAAGCTGAGGCTGCTTAGTGTTTGTATTGATGGCTGAAGTCTTTTAACTGATTTTACTGACAGACACTTTTAGCCTGGATTCCTTTCTTTTTTACTGACAGCCAGTAAATGTATTGACAGTTGGCAACTTTGCCACTTCACACTGTACACCAACTGTGATTCCATAAGAACATAAGAATTGCCATTTACTAGGTCAGACCACAAATCCTTGTTGTCCAGTCTCCTGTGTCTCAGTGGTATTGGATGATGTTGAAAGGAAAAGTGAACAGGGTTTGAACAGGGATTTTTCCCCCGTTTCTCTTCCACTTTCATCCTTCAGCATGTAAAGCCTAGGAAGTTCTAATTCAGAAGCTGTACCATTAACTGCCATGCTCAATAGCTACTCTTATCCCTTTTCTGCAAGAATGTGCAGTCCCTTTTTTGAATCTGGCTAAACTATCGTTCACAACATCTGGTGGCAATCAATTCCACATTTTAAATTGCATTTGGTATGAAAAATAACTTCCTTTTGTTAGTTTTAAACTTACTACCTACTAGTTTTATACTGTGATCCCTAGTTCTTGTATTGTGAGAGAGAGTAAATCATACATTCCTATTCATTTTCTCTTTACCATTTATTATTTTACAGAACCTTATCATGCTCCCCTTCAAGCATCTCTTTTCTAAACTGAATAAGCCTACGGTCTTTAGTCTCTCCTAACATGGAGTCCCTCTGTACTGTTAATCATCCTTGTTGTTCTCCTGTAGAAATTGTCTAATTCTTTTATATCCATTCTGAGGTGTGGGGACCAGAATTGGGCACAGTATGCAAGGTGTGGACACATCGTGGATTTCAAAGGGGCATGATGATACTTTCAGTTTTTACAATTCCTTCTTTAAAAAATCCCTAATTCCTTTTGAAGAAAAAATTCCAGACCTATTGATCATACAGCCAGGCCTTCTTTATGGAGGAAGAGATCCATTGTTTTCTGAGTATATGACTAGAAAAGGGTATATTTCCTCTCATTAAAATTAGCTAAATTAGCAATTTGTTACAGATTGTGGCTGAAAGCCATGCTCCTGAAAGCAACATAACAGACATACAACCATGATATAACTTTAAGCAAAAATAATGGATAATGTAAATATAATGATAAAATAGGGCCAACCGTTATAAAAGCATATCCCTACTCCTAAAATAAACATAATAAAAGACAAATATGGTAATGAATCAGATCATAAATCTATACAAGTGTTGTGCATAAGTCCAAAATTGATGGAGTAAAAAAATAAAATAAAAATCTCCTCTGCAAAGGCCTGGCAAAGCCTGATGAAGCTGAGGCACTACAAGCCAATGAGTTAGCCTCTGGTACATCTCAGCTGTTTCCCAGGGGTCAAGATGCAAACAGCAGAGATGTGTTTTAGTCAGATGGTCATGCCAAAGGTGTAGAAGTGCTCCAGGCATGAGTCTCAAAGGTGCACCCAGGCTGCATCTAAGGTCAAGGCATGTCAGTTCCATGTGACTGTCTTTTAAGTAAACCGGATAAATGTGAACTATACTGAATTATTGTTATGATGTGGATACATAATTGAATAGAATAACTCTAAGCAGAAACTAGTTTCCTTCTGGGAAAAAAAACAACCCAAAAAACAAAAACTACTTTCCATATGTTTAGCTTGAAGAATATGTGATTAGGGGGAGACAGGAGATCAGTCTTGAAATATCTGAATAGCTTGAAATATCTGATGTGCTGCCATAAAAATGAGGCGAACAACATTTTTATCCTGCTCCAGAGGCAAAGACATATAGCAATGGCTTGTATTTGCAGCAAAGTGTAGGGATAAACTAGATATCAGAACAAACCTAGTCACTCTTAAAGCGGTGAGACTGTGCAGAAGACTACCTAAGGAAGTTGTAGAAACTTTTTCACTGTCATTTTTGAAAAAGAGGTTTGATAAGTATTGGTCATGTATTGGTCATGTATTCTTTAGGACTGGAGGCTACTGTGAGGAGCAACATTTGGAAACCTAGGGGACCATGAGAAGAACAGGTGGAAAATGGAGAGGACCTGCCCAGCAACAGGAGGATGAAACCAACAATCTGCAACTGGCTTGGCTTCGAAAGAGGACTGAAGGATTTGAGATAACTATGAAGAGGAGACGATGATAGGATGATACAGGATTCTGTTTCTGGCCCCTAGATTGCGAAGTAGAATGGAAGGTGTCTGGTCATCACATGGGGCAGAAAAGAATTAATTCCCTTCCTCTTATTACAGGTATGAGGGTATTTTCACATTCCTCAGAAGCACTGTTTATCCACGGAGGAGATTTTAGGGGTCTGAGGGTTACTTTTGACAGTTCATGTCCTCAATAAAATGAGATCTCTGATTGAGCAAATGAAAAAGCAGATTTTATTGAACTTCTAAAATTAGGAACATTGAGATCTAATAATGATTAACACAATATGTATCTATATATTTGTACTATTCAAGTGGAAATAATCAGCCTTTCAACTTAGAATCATTGCATCTTAACATGCTAAGAATTTCTAAATGGTAGTTGGCTTGTTAGAGAGAGCTGGCCTAAATTCACAGACTATATTCTAAACGGCATTGTATCTTCATTAGGTCTGTGAATGGGAACCTCAGCAAAGGATGCCAGAGGAACACATCTCAGAATCCTGAGCTACCTCTGATCCCCATTTTCTAATAGAGCCCTACAACATTACTTGTTCAGAATGAGACACATGTTCAAAAAAGTGATGTTTTTGTTGCATATTATGTTGACCTTCACAAATCAAGATGTAATGAAGCTAGCCCTTCCTAGAATGTTCTGTCACCTATAACTCCCTTCCTTTTATACAACTTCCTTTAGGCTCATTTATGCTAACTTGGCCTAACTTAAATTAATGCAGGCAAAAATGACTAAAGCTACTATAATGCAAGCTAAAAAGATTCAAATTTAACGCACAGATTTATACAGGCAAATTTGGGGATTTTCACTGTGGTGTGCTGATGCTCCTGTTAGAATTTAGAAAACTCAGCAGTTCCTGCCTCAAGGTCTTGCTCCTCTGCCATATAAAAGATAAGGAGGTAATTTTATCCCATGGTCTAATTCAGATGGTCTATCGGGGGTTTTGCCTTCCTCTGTTGTGGGGTAAGGGATCCACTACCATGGATAGTTTGAGTGCATTTTAACAAATTATTTCTTGTCTTTGCAGGGGCAGGACATTGACTGGTCAAATCACCCTTCGGTCTTCTCTTCTGCAGACTAAATCATTTGAGCTCTTTTAGCCTTTATTCATAAGCCTTTATTCCTATGGTCTGCTACGATACCCAGCTCCCTTTCTGTAATGCATCAAATACAACCTGGCAAATTATTGTATTTGTGCATGCAAGTTTTCCAGGACTTTGCACTTGAACCTAATGAATTTCATTTGATTCATTTCAGACGACTTATCCTGTTTATCAAAGTCATTCTATATAATAATCCTACTCTCCTGATTATCCTGAACAAACTATTTTTTTCTTAATTCTCTAACCTCCATTTGTCATAGTCCCTGTACTGTTTTAAGAACTAGGGGAGATCACCTTGGCTCTTACATTAGGTACATGTGCTACGGCAGGTTATTCTGTGATTCAGTAATACAGGGTGCATCTACACGTGCTCCTGACTGCAGTACTGTAAATCATTGCGCAGCACCTGCTGCTGCTATGCAGTCCCAGTGGCACACTAGTATTTTTAGATGGTATGTCACCAGAGCAATGAACTACAGTGATGTAGTATTGGCATCAGGGTTTGTGCCCGCCAATACTATATTTCTGTAGTAACAAACTATGTTGCTGTAGCTTGTTGCTACGGTGACATAGCGACTCCTGTAGATGCACCCACAATGTACAATGGAAACAATGGCATGGGCTTTATGGATTAAATGTGCAAAAATATTTGCAGTATGTTGTCAGAGACAGTCAAAGAACACTGAGGTACGAATGAACAAGAACATTCATAAAAACAAAGGTTGTTATGAGCAGCAGTCTAGAACATGGTCTCAGATACTTTTAGAAAAGAAAGGCGTTACTTTTGCGAGAGTAATCTCAGGTTTATCACTAGCATAATTAATATATTGCTAAATTTTCAAGAGTATCTACATTGCTAATGAGCAGAACCTCTTTGAGTATCTACGTGCAACCACATCTTCTAGGTTATTGATTGTGAATGCTTGCTTGTAAGTGAGATAAATGACTGCACACACATGCATCTTCTTTTTACTTATTTCCTGATGACATATAAGCTGCAATATAATCTCCTTTAATATTTTGTAGTCCAGTGGAACCGCAAAAGCTAGTATTTAACTCCAGATGTCACATATGATATCTAGTAGCACAAGTGAAATTTGCAGCTGTACAAAGATTTCCTGTAAAGAATTACAGAGAATATGAATTCTTCCTGTTAGAGGAATCCATGATGTGTCTTATCTCCTTTAAGATGTTGTCTTTGTTGTTTGATACATTTAATTTGGCAGCCTGAAGCAATTTGCTGAAATCTTCCTTATTGTACATACAGCGGACAGATTTGAATTCAGATCTTGAGTCTGTGACATGGCCTATAAACAAAAGAAAATAAAAACATTTAAGTTATTAAAAAGAGGCTTTTACTATTGCTACTACTGATGTCAGTGAGAGCTGTTATGATTACAATTTATTATTATAACCTTTTCAGGCTTCCAGTCTGTCACAGCTTAACATCCATAACTGTCAGCTCTGTGATCACTACTAACTTTTTCCCTTAAGTTTCTTGCATCATATCCTCCACACACACTGCAGTGCTCCAAGGCCATGTACAGACATTCCACTTTTATCTTTTTATTTTTATCCCACTTTTACAAGTGATCGGAAACCAGTCTATACCCATAACAGAAGTTCAGCATACTTAAGCTAGGGACAGAAGTTATACACAAACCAGTTTAAGTGATCAGAAACTGGTTTAAACCTGTAACAGAACAGAAGTTCATTTCATATAAACGAGTTTCAAAATGGCTTAAATGGATTTCAGATAAACTGGCTGAATGTAGTATTAGACTTAACTGACAAATATCAAGGGTAACTTTTATAAATAGAAAGATAAACTAGAATGTGAAATGCTTAAATGTATTTTACCACCAGGTCAATTTAGCTCAGTGTCCTTGTACACATAGCTAGAGAACATACTTTGTGGCATGTTAATTTATATCTGTTCAAAAACTTGGCAGAGTAAAATAGAGATGAGGAGATGGTAAAAAGATTTCTCAGAGCAATTTTTAATGCAGTCCCTGCCTTCTGTTTCTATTAAAAGAAAATCCCTGTGACTTACTGCGTTTTGTAGCAGCAATCAGAGAAAATCTATTGCAGTTGTTAAGTGCAGTAATTGCACCACTCTCAAATGAGAAATGACAGATATTCTTGAGGGTAAAGGAGTTTCAACATTTGAAGATGGGTATCAACTTCTATAAACATCCCTTGCTTGAATAAACATCCGCCTATAAACTTGAATAAACACCGCCTATAAGCTTGTCGAGGGGGACCATCAGGCAAAGGGAGAGTTCCTGTTCCCCCGAGCACTACTGGGGGTAACAAGGAATAACAGCCATAGGTTGACTGAGAGTAGATTCAGGCTAGATATCAGGAGGCACTACTTCACTGTCAGGGCGGCTAGGAGCTGGAACCAACTTCCAAGGGAAGTGGTGCTTGCCCCTGCCCTGGGGGGGTCTTCAAAAGGAAGCTACATAGCCACCTAGCTGAAGTCATTTGACCCCAGCATCCTTTCCTACCCATGGCAGGGGGTTGGACTAGATGATCTGCTTAGGTCCCTTCCGAACCTACCTGCTATGAAACTATGATTTGGGTCAAACCGGTTTATGGAACTTCTGTCCCAGACCCCTTCCTGGTTCAAGTTAAATCACAGTCCCCCAGCATCCCAGAATGCTTTATAGCCCTGTGCTGTGCTGTGCTGTGCTGTCTGTTCTAGCAGAGAAGGGTTGGGGGAAGGGGGGAAGAGAGGCAGGGACTTCTCCCCCCAGGCAAACCCTGGCTGGGGTCTGGGGCCAGGGAGGGGGGGTTAAACCCCTTTTCCCCAAAGTACAGAGTTGCCCTGCCCTGCTAAACTTGCTGGAAGCTACTGCGGGCTGCTACTGTGGATTACAAGTCCCAGAGGCATCTGGAAGCAGGAAGAGGAAGTGATGAGAAACCCTGCATACTCCTGCTTTTGTGATTCTAGACTACAAACCCCAGAGACCTCAGGGGCAGCAGGAAGAAGAACTGCCAGAGAACCATGCTCTAGCACCCCCTGGCACTGGATTGAGCCACTGCAGGCATGTGGCTTCATATCCTGAATCAAGGTAAATGCGTATCCATTTTTTCTCAGTTTAATCTTTGCAGTTTAGACTAACCTGCAAATACTGAATCAATTTAGCCATGGGCTTTTTGACTATCTGTACTTAGGCATAGACTGGTTTTAAAATGGCAGAACACGGTCTAAGATGTGTCACCCACCGCCCATCAAAGGGTGAGTGTGGGTTTTTTTGCTACCACTGCAAACTATGCTATTTACAGAAAACCACATAGGTTTGATTCGGCCTGGGGCCTTTTGAATGTCAGTAGCTAGCCCAAGTGCATCAGAGACTGGATCTTTCATTGAGAGCTTCTATATTTAATTCCTGGCTTTCCCAGTGAGAACCATACATAATTGTGTTGAAGTCAAGGTAAATGATGAGCAGGTCAATAACAGAAAAGGAGGTTTACCTGGAACGTTCACTGTGTTGAAGAGGGGGAAGTGCATGACAGTGGGGGCATTCTCCCCTCTAAAGATGTAGACATCAGAGGGGTTATTCTCGTCCTGGAGCAGATTCTCATCTACCTCAGGAAATGGGATGCTGTTTTGTCTGCAGTATTCCACAGCTTGCTTGAGTGTCTGAATGAGAAAAATATGACTAGGATGTTTAGCAGGACCACAGTTCCCATCAAGTTAAATAATCAGGGCTTTAGATATTTAAAAATGTAAGTCTAAGTCCCTTTTCAAGGTTTCTGATCGATTGCCCAAGCAGAAATTATGCACCCTCCTCTTGGATTTAAAAAAAACAAAAACAAAAACAACAGCAGCCCTCTTTTTGTAAAAATCAACAATTGTCTACCTAAAGAAATCTAACAGAAAGCTAAAGAACTATGACTTTACCTCTCTGGGAATTTCAGTAAGATTTGTGACCCTAAGTACCACAAGCTTCTTTGAAAATCTGTCGCTGGGGTTAAGGACTGATAAAACATGGTACAGCATTGACCCCCAAGTGCCAGCACAGAGCAGAAGGATTCATTGCTGATGTCTGATCTACTCAGAAGTTAGGAGAAGTCTTTGGTAGTGGTTCAGTAGAAGTGGTTTTCTGTAGCGTGCATCATGACTGAGCTTAGTGCCACCCAATGTTCCACTGTTCAGACAAGGTGTGAAACAGATCTTTGCTACTGTTGATATGATCATGAGGGAAAACTGTCAAAACACCGTTTGAAGTCAAGTACTGGGCTCCTATTTATAGCAAAAGACATGAATTTTCTTTTGTGCATTTGAAAATATGGACCTACAGCTGTTACCAACTACAGAAAATAAGCTTGGTATTGTTGGTGATCACTAGTGAACATTATAATGTTGGTCAGATTACTATGTAGTGGGTGCATCTACACATGACGCTATGTTGCTGCAGCAATGCACTATGGCAGTGTAGTATCAAGGGGCACAAACCATGACACTACAGCTGTGTTGCTGTACTGACATGCTTCCTTGGTATAGAGCATCACTACGGCAAAGTAGGGGATAAAAATAAACATGCGCCGCCAGCACAGTGCAGTAATGGCTCTTACTGTGCCATCATTTAGTACTTTCAAAAAGAAGTACTAAATGATGGCACAGTAACAACAGCACCATAGGGACACATGTAGATGTGCCCTGGTTGCATACGTCTATTGGTTGTATAATTCTATGGACTAACCTATCCGCATTGGGTTAGTTCTTGTAAAGTATTCAGCTCTCAAACTGTTCTTTACCAGTGAAAGAAAAAACAAGGTCTTAAGCATCTCATAGTTTTGTTGTATTCTCATTCCTCGTGGTAAAGAAAAAAGTTTTGTTCTGTGTTCATCTGGCATAATAGACCTTCATAATACAGCAACATTGCAGTGATGGTAAAAGCTACCTTAAAAGGATCTCCAGAGCTATAGTCAAAGGAGAGGATCAACTTCACTTTTCTCTCTGGACGAAGAATGAGAGGGTAAGCACAGTTTATGGCTACTCCAGCATCAATCAAAGAGATGATTTTATCTTCCATCAGTTCGGCAGAGTTAATACCAGCTATAAGAATGCATAAAACATATAGTTTTAATGCTGAGATTATAGCATCTTCACCTGCTTAGTAACATCTATGTCAGTTGAAAAAGTACACGTGGTAACTAGACTGTATCTGTATCTTTTTTTATTTTACCTTCCCCAGAAATTCTGGCACTGGAAAGAAAGTTTTGAAGTCTTTTCAGTTCTTAAATAGGCTTCACTGGGAGCTGCTAATCAGAGCATTAATAAAATGACTCAGTAATCTTTTCTGGAGAAAAGTAATATGTTAACTTTTCTCCATAGTAGTTTCATAGTAGCTAGGGTCAGGAGGGACCTGAACAGATCATCTAGCCTGACCCCCTGCCACAGGCAGGGATGAATGCTGGCACTGGAAAGAAAGTTTTGAAGTCTTTTCAGTTCTTAAATAGGCTTCACTGGGAGCTGCTAATCAGAGCATTAATAAAATGACTCAGTAATCTTTTCTGGAGAAAAGTAATATGTTAACTTTTCTCCATAGTAGTTTCATAGTAGCTAGGGTCAGGAGGGACCTGAACAGATCATCTAGCCTGACCCCCTGCCACAGGCAGGAATGAATGCTGGGTTCACAAGACCCCAGACAGGTGATCATCTAACCGCTTTTTGAATTTACCCAAGGTAGAGGCGAGGACCGTTTCCCTAGGAAGTTGGTTCCAGATTCTAGCCACCCTAACTGTAAAATATTGCCTCCTGATCTCTAACCTAAACCTATTCTCCATCAGCTTATGACCATTGTTCCTTGTCACCCCAGGTGGTGCTGGGGAGAATAGGCCTCTTCCTATTTGCTGATGATCTCCTCTGATGAGTTGGTAGGCAGCCACCAGGTCCCCCCTCAGCCTCCTCTTGCTGAGGCTGAATAGGTTCAGGTTCCTCAGTCTCTCCTCATAGGGCCTGTGCTGCTGCCCAATCACCAAGCGGGTAGCCCTCCTCTGAACTATCTCCAGGCTGGCCACATCCCTTTTGAAGTGCGGTGCCCAGTACTGGATGCAGTACTCCAACTGTGGCCTGACCAAAGTCACACAGAGGGGGAGTGTCACCTCTCTGGACCGGCTTGAGATGCATCTTTGGATGCATGACAAGGTATGGTTGGCCCTGCTAGCTGTGGAATCACCAAGCGGGTAGCCCTCCTCTGAACTATCTCCAGGCTGGCCACATCCCTTTTGAAGTGCGGTGCCCAGTACTGGATGCAGTACTCCAACTGTGGCCTGACCAAAGTCACACAGAGGGGGAGTGTCACCTCTCTGGACCGGCTTGAGATGCATCTTTGGATGCATGACAAGGTATGGTTGGCCCTGCTAGCTGTGGTCTGGCATTGGCAGCTGATGTTCATCTTGGAGTCAATAATGACTCCAGGATCCCTTTCCGCCTCTGTGCTTTCAAGAGGGGAACTCCCCAGCCTGTATGTATGCTGTGGATTCTTTCTCCTAAGGTGCAGCACCCTGCATTTATCTATGCTGAACCCCATCCTATTCTGATCTGCCCACTTTTGTAGTCCTTGCTGAGCCATGGGGGTTTCTGAGCGCTCTTACACCCCTTGCTTCTCTCAGGGACTGTTACCCTTTGGGCCTGGAGGATCGCCTCCTTAAGGTATGACCATCCCTCATGGACTCCCATCTCCTCTACCTTCTCTGGCCCCACTAATCTCCAAAGCTCATTGAAGTTGGCCCTTCTGAAGTCAAGGGCTTTAGTCATGCTATAAGTCTTTGATACCCTGTGCTGGATAGTGAATTCCAGCAGGTGATGATTGCCGTTGTCCAGGTGGTCAAGGACCTGCAGTCCCCTCACCAGGTCATCCCCAGTGGCCAGGACCAGGTCCAGCAAGGCGTTACCCCCAGTGGGGCTGTGCACCTCCTGGATAAGTAGATGACATATAAACACACAAGTGCCCTTTCTCCCACTGCTTTCTTTAAGTGCCCATTATCAAGCATTTATGCCCATCCCTGACCCCCCATGTCTGTTGGCCCTAATTAATAATATTCAGTTTAGCTACTTCTTTCATCTTAAGCTTTCCAGCCACTGGCCTTTTACTTAAATGCCACCACTTTCGAATTCCTGCACCCACCTACCAGGCATTGTCATATAAATCACTAGGAGCAAAAGGTTGTCCACTTTTCCCATTACTGTATTGTCAGCTTTTTAGAAGTCAAGAGGGGGAAATGTTATATAATAATTCATTTAAATGCTGTTTCCTTACACACACACACACACACCAGGCACTGGATTAGTATTGAGTGGGCAATTTTAGTGGTAGCAGAAGCTAGCCTTAAAATGTTTGATGTTGTTATCACCCTGTTTTAGTAGTGTGTTGTGTATAATACTGCAAAGAACATTCCTTTGTCGTTTATTGTTTTGCGATGCTTCTGCTTTTGAGAGAGGCTCCTAGGAGAGGGGGGTACATTCACAGCACTATCAAGCATTATTTTACTTACAGAACTTATATAGGAAGTTATTGATGCTTCCCCATTTCCAGTGTAAGAGGCATTTATTGGTTTTGTGTACAATCCTGGAGATATTCATTATTGATTCTGTTGGAAAGAATGCTTGATCTAAATGTGAAAACAAATTAAAAGAACTTCAGAGAGTTATAAAAACATCACGCATGTGACTGTCTTACTGGTTAATTAATTAAAACAGATGAGTAAAATTCCACCAAGTAGATGCATAAAGGGACTTTGGGCACCTAACTAGTCATTTTCAGTGGATAAGGCCAAAAATGAAGAACCTTACAGCCCCCTCTTAACACTGTAAGCAACTAAATGCCTGGGATGCTCTTTATTCAGTCATGCTTCTTCATTGCCTGCATTCAAAAGCTTATCTAGCTTGCTCTACTCTGAAGTTAGTCCAATAAAAGATGTCATCCTAAGAAATCTTTGCCTCTGAGGTAAGGTAGGCACTTATTAGTGTTTGCCAGGTACCACTGATTTCAGTTTGAAAGTCATCATTTAAATAGATTCTCACCCTAATTGTTTCAGGAACAGTTTGCTGTCAGCCTTTCCCATCTCACTAGTAGTCATAAAAGTATTTGTTGGTGCATGTTCTTAGCTCAGAAATTTACATCTTATTAAGAGTAATTATGTTGTTACTAGGGGTGTGTGAAGTTTTGGTCACTGATTCGATTTGGAGAAGATTCAGCCCAATTTGGAGGCCAAATCACTAAATCTGAATCAAATTTGGAGACCAAAAACCCCCCTCTGAATCGATTTGGAGCCTGGCAGATAGCATACTTAGGATCATCTGCCACCTCAAAATGATCCCACACTACGCTACCCGCTGTTCCCCCGTGGGGGGTGGAAGGGGAGACTGACATCTGTAGCTGGCCAGTGACTGTGATCTTTCCCTGAGTCCCCTTCCAATCACAGTGCTTTGGGGGAAGGACATAGAAACAGCATATAAGCCTCTGCCTGCAGCCTTTCTGTCCATGTTGTGAGCTGTTTCTGCCTGAGCAACAGCATCTGAAAGGTACTGGACTGGCTTGGCTTTCTAGTCAGTCTCCTGCTAGTTTCTGCTCTTGGAAAGGTTTGGATTTAACTTAGTAGTAATCACCCTTGCCTAGAATCCCTCTACTTATCCCTATCCAATACATTTCTTTCAACTTATTCTTCCCCCCAAAACCTCATATTTGTTCTTGTTATTCCCCCCACCCCGCACACTTTAAAAGAAAGCTCTGTTTTCCCTGGCAGTGTGATCCATGACTGTGCAGGAAAGCACTTACATTACACACACTAACGCACATACAGTAAAGACAACAGAGAAGAAGAAGAGATAGTAGTCAGACACATACAGTAATCTGAGAACCTGCTACATCCCCCTCACCCTGATGCCTTCATTTCCATTTTCATTGACTGGCTTTCTTGCCTGCATTGCATGCCAGCCTCTGGCTTCTTTACTATTCCTTCCATCCAGGAATAGCACACACACCAACTAGATGCTTCCTCAGCCTGTTGAAGAGTTTTTAAACCCAAAAGCTTGTAAAGAAGAATTTCTCCAACTATTCTCTTGGTCTAATAAAACATATCAGATTGACTCTAAAAACCTTGCCTGGGCTACATTCTTAGACGAACACAACTACAACTTACATCCCTTAAACACACACAAGTGACATGAGTTTTACTTTCAGGAGTTTGAGGTGTAGGTTCACAGAAACCCCTGCAGCACTCTGCCTGAAACCTGGCAGGCCTCCCTCATACCTGCATGAGGGGCTATGTATGTGGAAGGAAAGGTGCTAATGAGGGTGGCCATTTAATGCCCCACTCAGAGCTGGAGGTGGCAATTTAGTTTCTCACCAGCACAGCCAGCAGGGGAAGAACATCTCCCTGCTGACCTT